ATAATAATAAAATAAATAATAAAATACAATATCAGAATAATAAACTAATAAAATAATAAACTGTTCTATAACACTATATAATTTATATTTGTCCTTGTGATTCTAGAAACTTTTCAAACTTCTTCAATTTTGGTATAATCTAATTGTTGTAAAAAGAATTGTGTACACAAAAGTATACTATTAGGCTTGTCTTCAAAATTATCACTCTCAGATAGCTTATTTACTAGCATATTTTTAATTTCGTCAATAGTAGAACAAACTGAAAGATAATATGTACTTTCTTTTATTTGACTGATTAAAAATCACGTAATATTTGGTCACAAGTACCAATTGATAAGTAGTTCAATTTGTAGAAAAATTGTTATAGTATTAATATTAGAAAAAATACTGCTAACCAAATCTTCATATTGCTTTTGTCTTATATTACTCTTACTACTATCTATTAAAACCTTTCTGAGCTTATAAAGAGATGTGTTACTGCTTTCAATAATATGTTTAAGACAGGTGTTTTAACTTTTTACAAATGATATAGATTCAATATCAAGAGTAAAAAGTGTTGTTATAAATCTATGAGCCCAAGACTTATGCCTATTATACAAATTATTTTGAAGATATATATTTGTGATAAGATAATTTTTTATCATTTCTTCCCAATAATGATAAAAACTATCAGGTGTATCAGTATTACAGCATTTCTAAAAAGAGGAATAAAAATTGCTGAATAATGTACCAAGTTTTTTGCGAAATGCTTTTTTAACATTTTCTTTCAAGTGCCAGATATAAAGAATATGATAGATCGTAGGATATTTTGCTATAATTATACCTTCTATAGAGAATCTCTGTCAGTAACAAATATATTAAGTATATATTCTTGAGTTGCTTTTTTTGTTATATATAAAACCTACTAATATGATTCCATAGTTTTATTACTTAAAAGTGCTTGGGCAACTATTCTTGACTTCATATTATTATCTATAATTACGAAAAGTGATAGTAGTATATTATAACAATTAGTTATAGCAGTATTATTATGACCAACTGATTTACCAAACTCATATCACATTATAATTTGTTCAGAACTCATCCAAAATATCTCTGTAAAAGTATTTGTTTTTGATTCCCAGATTGCTTTAACAAACCACATGGATCCTCATATTTTTAGCTTGCAACTTCTCATAAAACTATATCATATCTGTTTTATTATAATGTACTGATAGTTTATACTATTGAATTTCTGCGTAAAGATTCTTGGTATAAACTGGATGAGAGAAGTACTTTTTTTAGAATTTTCTTTATTATTATTACACCAAAATAACATTCTTTTACATAGAACTCGATATATATCTTTCTGCATCTCATTAGTAACTGCTTTCAGTTTCTCAAACTGTAATACCTCAGGCACATTTTATGATTATGTTTGTTTTCAAATGTTGTTACAAAAATATATGAATTTGGGATTTGTTTAGAGACCTTGAGAGATTAATATGCTATGAGCAACCTTTTCTTATAGTTGTTCTAGCTTTTTAGGGTTTATGTACTGATAGCTACCAAAATAACAATAGTAAATTGCCCTTTTTCGTATTACTCTTTTGTCTTCATTAGTTTGAATAGTAGTATTTCTTTCTAATACTATCTTAAAACTTATATATTCAGCATATTTTTATACATACTCTACTGTTTGATCAAAATCATCAAATGACTGGCCTTTTTTTATTATAATAGCTTTGGTATTTTCACGTGACATTTCGTCTTCATACAAGACTTCATTTTCTATACCAATATTTATATTGACAACTACACCAATATCCATATCAGAAATCATATCAATGTCCATACCAACATTTACATTAACATCCGTACAAGAGTTCACAATAACGTCCAAAGAAGTATCTGCATCAACATTTATAGTATCCACACCAAAGTTCATAAAACTATCTGAACCAAAATTTATGAAACTGTCTGAACCAAAGTTTATAGCAGCTTTCTTATCGAAGTTCATAAAAGCATCTGCACCAAAGTTCATAGCAGCTTCCTCAATAAAGTTCATAATAGCATCTTTACTAAAGTTCATAGCAGCATTTACACCAAAGTTTATAGTAGTATTTATACCCAAGTTCATAGCAGTGTCTATACCAAAGTTCATAGCAATGTTCATACCAAAGTTCATAGCAGTGTCTACACTAGGATTTATTCTAATATTTATATTATTATTTATATTCATGCTAGAAATTACACCAATGTTCATATCAGCATTTATATCACTTTGACAACCTTTATACAAATAGCATTGAGTATTACTACTACTGTTTTCAAATACAATTTTACCAGGTATGTTTGTTGTTTTTTTACTATTTGTATTTTTTATGCTTAGATATAAGCATGTGTTAGCAAACAAAGAGAAAAAGAACTAAAAAAAAGCTAAACAACTTGTGCTATTTATGAGAATAGATCAATAATATAAACAATCAGCTGAGTTTTAATTTAAAACTAGTAGATCATCAGTTTAAATTTAATACAAGAATGGGTTATCATTGTTGTTAATAATATAAATCAACTGCTAAGTCTAAATTCAAAATCTTGTATCACATAATTTGGGGTGCAATATATTGCCTAATGCAATAAATTAAAAAATTTTTATATTATTATATAGTATTATTTTTATATTATTACAAATATTTTAAACTACTTTCATATTTTACTATATCTAATTTTATTATTATATATAAAAATTAGCTCTATATACTTATATTTGTTTACTCTGCAGTTAGCTATTATCTTTACTTTTTTGTTTTAATTATCATTTTTACTTTGGCTATTTCTTTTATAGTGGTTATAATCTTTATTTTGTTTTTTTTTCTAAAGACTTTCTAAAAATAGTAAAGAAATGAAAAATAGTAGAAAATAAAAAAAATAAAAAAATATTTCTTAGATATTAGCAAGTTTTAAAACTATAAATTGTAAAAGATTTATAATTGATACAAAATATTATACAAGAATTTAAATTTTGCTTTGATTTCTAAAACTTATTAATTAATTTTATATAGTTGTACTAATTAAAGTTATTTAGAAAGCTATTTTAATTATAATAGTAGTTAAATTATCAAAATTAGTTAAATATTTGTTAAAATAGCTTAATCAAAGATTTTTTGAAATATTATGAATATTTTATAATATTGTGCAATATTTAAAATATTACAAAAACTTTTTAATTAAGTAATTTTAACAAAAATTTAAGAGGAGTGCCAGAAATCACATAATTTATACTATAGATATATTGTTAGACAAGAGATCATATATATATATATATATAATATAGTATATAATCAAATATAATAAAATATATAATATATAAATTAGAATAAATCTATATACTATACCCTATAGTATACTAATTCATCATATACATATAAATTATATAATTTGTAATCTGTGTTAAAACAATTTTGTATAAAAAATTAATTAGATGAGATTAAGAAACTAAGATTAAGGTTAAAGTAAGGTAGAGTTAATATATATTAAAATTTTGCGAAAGATTTCTTTGTTAAAACACGAAAGGTGGTTTTATAGACAAAATTTTGAGATATTACAAAATATCTTATTCTTATTACATGAAATTAATTTGCATATCTCAAATTTAATTGGTCAGGTGATACTTATCTATAATGCAGAGATGCGAAGCCTAAAAAACTTCTATAAATTATATATATGTTTTAATAAATCTTTAATATTAAATAACTTTTGATCTACTAGTCCAATTTGGATGATTTAACTGCTAAAATATTCATCTTTATGAGATGATTCTAATGAGTCTAAAATCGCTAAAATCTAATCACAGGATCCTGAGATCATTAAAGTTTCTTGTACTATTTTGTTTATTGTCCAGAGTGAAGCGAAGAACTCATATTTCTATGTGCTTTGATGACCGAAATTACTATTTTGATGTATTTATAATAAAAATATCAATAACGTAGTTTCAGTATTTTCTGTCTGTAATGCCACGTGTCTAAATTTGAATATTCATGTAATGACAACATGAAAACAAAAATTTTACGTAACAATATTACAGTTGTCTGATTGGCTAATGTAAAACTTAGATAACTTATTCTAGATAAATCTTTTTTAATCTAGATCAGCTGTGATTTTGTTTATTAGAAAACCGGATAGTAAAGAATAGAACTTGGAGATTAGAACCAGAGCTTGTAAGATAAATTGTTTTTTTCTGGTTTTTTTTTCTGTTTGCTTTTTTTTTCTTTGACCTATTATTAACTTTATTTTTTCGTAGATTTGCTTTGCTAAAAAACTGGTCGGTAGTAGGAATAGATCCAGATCTTGTGAGATAAGTGGTTTCATCTTTGTTTTTTTTTTCACGCCTTTTTTAGCTAAAACTAATGCAACTTTTGTTTTAAGTTTAGTTTATAGTATCGCTTTTGTAAATGTCATTGTTTATTGAAATAGAGATTCTGAGCTTTGTCATTTCAGTGTTTTTCGTTGATTTGCTGTTGTCAGTGATTTTAAGCTTTTGCCATTTTGAGCTGTCAGCTTGTGAAGATTTCAGATTTTCATCATTTCAGTATCATTGATGATTTCAGGCTTTCTCCGTTTCAGTATTGTTGTTTGTGATGAATCTTATTTACTTCACTAACTCTTTTTAGGTGGGTTGGGTTTAATTTATTTCTTCCTTTTTTTCACTATTTGTTATTTATTACCTACTTTTTTCTTTGGTAAGTTTCACTAAAACATAGAATCAGTGCCGGGAACAGTATTTTGGTCTTGAGATAAGTTTTTTTTTCTCTTTTTCTTCTATTTGTTGTTAATTACTTTGTTAATTTTTTTTTCTTTTTAGATCCATGTAGGTCTCGCTAGAATTTGTCAAATTAACAAGAGCAGAACTAGCTTAAA